GAGGCCGCGGCAAGGCTCCCGGGAGCCTCCCGCAGAGGAGCTGGCCGGCGTGCGCGCGGCGGCGCGTGCTCCCGTGCGCTTGCGTGTGCGCGCACAGAGGCTAAAGGCTGCGCCAGAACAAAGAGCTGGGGGCTGGGTATCGGAGGGGCGCACGTGGAGGCGCCTGCCTGGGCGGCTGCGGCAGCGTCTCGGCTGCGCTCCCGCTCCTGCGCGCTCCCCGCTCCTGCCTCCCGCACACGCGGCCGCACAGCCCGCGCGGCTCTGCCCGGCCGGCTCCTGAGCCGCGTGCGTGCCCAACCCGGCCCGCCGCCAGCGCGCCTGACAAAGCACCTCTCCCCTACTCGCCACCGGCATGAGCTCATCCTGCCCGCCCGCCCGCCCGCCGCCTGCGCCTGCCCGGCCTGGCCTCCGCACTGGAGAGGGAAAGGGACGGGAGGAGGTGTGGGGGCGGGGCACACACACACACACAAACACACACACAGCCGTGTACACACACACACCCGCGCCTCCGCCACACACAGACACGCACAGTACAACCTGCACACTCAGCCAAACACCCCACACAGACATGCACACCACACACATAACCGGGCACACCCCCCTCACACTACCCAGCATGCACACCACACACAGCCACGCGCTCCCCCAGCCACACCCCCCAACACAGAAACACAAACCAGTGCACAGCGCTCAGACGGGTCCCACACCCAGCCATGCACACCCTGCTACAGCTGCACACCCTATACAGCCACAGTCACACGTACAGACACGTGTAGACACATGCAAGTACACAGTTAAAACCTGCACACACAGGCACATGCACACAGATACCACACACAGCCCCATCTCTCTCTCTCACACACACACACATACACACACACACATACGGGGATGCACAGCACATGCACTGCACGCAGCCACGGGTACCAGGCACGTGTGTACACACACACCACATACACAGCCATGGGGAGAAAGGGTGAGACAGAGAGAAACCCAGAAAGACAGAGGAAGCAAGAGATGGACAGGGGCAGTGGGAAGGGATGGATGGAGAGAGACGGACACTAAGGACCCTCTCAGCAAGGAGGAGGCACTGCACCAGCAAGTCAGAGAGCCTCGGCCCAGGTAGGCAGAGAGCGCCAGGTGGGGGGCGAGGCCTCAGCCCACTGCACTTGTGCAGAGCGGCTGAGCGCTTCACCTGCAGATGCCTGGCTGAGCGGGGCCATGGGCTGGGCGTTGCCTGCCCGGTGACCGCTAAGACGCATGCACACCTGTGGCCAGGCGTCCAGGTTTCTGCTGGTTCCACGCCATCCACACAGAGGGGCTGGCGCCCTGTGCGTCCATGCTCAGTGCATCCCTGCCTCCCCACCTCATGTGGCCCTCAGGGCGACTGGAGCTTCCCCCCCAACCCCCGTCAGACTGACACCTGCCCTTCCAGAAGATGGCCAGGCAGGGAGGGGCCTACGACCTGGAGCCCTGAGCCCATCCTTATTGGGGAGCAGCTGTTGCTGCCAACAGGGGTTTGATTCCTAAGAAGGGAATACATGTGATGCCCAACCCACTGCACTGCTGTGCCTCAGTATTCTCAGCTGCAGAATGGGAATACTGAGAACTCATCACCCTGTCATTTAACGGCAGCACGCATGCGAGAGGGCTCTGTAGAGAGCTGTGCACCATTGGCCGTGTGGACAGGGAGAATGAATCGTTTGGATCAGGAGAAGCAGTAATGCTGAGATGGCGCTCAGAGGAGCCCCAGGCCCTGCCTGGGCACAGTGAAGGGCTCTCCCACAGGGGCTCCTGGTGCCCTGGGCAGGAGAACAGGGCCCCCCACAACACCCGCTCTGCAGCCAGCGGGGCTGGGGTAGGCAGAGGCTGGGCTTGGAGTCAGGAGGCCAGAGTTCAACTTGCTGCATGGCCCAGGCAAGTCTCAGGACCCCGTGAGCATCAGCTTCCTCATCTATGACGGAATACCCGACGTCTCACCACACTGGGCACCACGGCAGAACACAGACCCCTGCAGCATACGCCGGCCGGCCAGGGCACGGGCTGCAGAGGCCCCTGAGTGGGGGCCGCACAGGCGGCTGAGCCGCTCCTCCAGCGGGGAGCCACTGGGCTGCTGCAAGGTCCCTCTGGCCTCCTTCTCTCCCTCCGGCTGTGCTTCCTGTCTCTTGGTTCCGCCTCGGAAATGTCCCCATCTCATCACTCCAGTCTAGTCTTCCTGGCCCAGCCACCATCGTCCTCACCCACCCAGACCTCCCTAGGATCTGCCAATTGGCCCCCCGCCCCCACGCTTGCTCCCCGCGCAGCCTGTTCTGCTTTGGTGGACAGAGCAGTCTGCGTACAATGAGAATTTAGCCATGTTCCCGTGACTTTGGGGACAAAGACTGCAAACTTCAGGACTGGCCCCGCGTGGTCAGGGGCTGCTGCCGCTCCAGCCTCACCACGGCCACACGTCCCCCGCCTCTGGGCTCCAGCACCACTGCCTGTCTCAGCTCAGATGACAATCGACCTCCACTTGCAGCCCAGCGTCTGCACAGGCCGCTCCCTTGACCTGCAGAGAAGCGCTGATTCCTTTCCATCACCTCCTACTCTTGCTCAACCTGCAGATCCCAAGGAAGCCTTCCTCCCCAGAGCACTCTGCCCAGCCCCACCCCCCCCAAAACAGCAACACTTCCACGGCGTCTGCGACTGTGCCCAGCACTTCCATCCATGCACAGGTGCACACACCTGTAATCGCCTGATCAGTGCTTTTCTCTATCTCCAGACCAGGGGCCCTGTGCTGGAGCCGGTCACAGGCGGGCCTTACAAGCCGTCTGTAGCCCATCACAGGCCCTCGGCAGCAAAAGCTCTTGGACCCTGGCTCTAGGCTGCAACGTGTCCTGAGCCAGGACCCGGTCTGTCTTGCGCCCCCTGGGAATTGCTTGCAGCCCTGGCAGGTACCTGCTCACAGCACTCAAGAGATATGGGACGCTTTGAAAAGCAGCAGCCGGTAAGCTGTCAATGTTGCATTAACTTCAGTTATCACTACAACTGCACGCCCCCCTCAGGAATAGAGGTTCGCTGGTAGGTAATTCAGTACCACGGCCATCTCCCAACGTGGGCTGGCCCGGCAGGAGCTCCTGGTCCACAGAACCCTCACAGCCCTTTTTGTAAGTGAAGCTATACACTCATACAAGGGGAGGTGTGCACCCCAGCCAAGAGATCCCGCGGTGAGCAGGTTTACAGAAACGCGTTGTGAGACGCCCTGTCAATGCGTTCACAGAGGATGCTCCCGGATGCAGAATGGGAGCTGACGGGGCAGTGCTGGGACAGCCCCATCGCACACCGCAGGGCCCGGAGCCCACTCCCTGCTCTGCTTCCCATCCAGCTCCCTGCTAATGTACCTGGGAGGCAGCAGAGGATGGCCCGAGAGTCTGGCTTGGGCTTCTGCCACCCACGTGGGAGACTCGATGGAGCTCCTGGCCCAGCCCTGGCTGCTGTGGCCATTTGGGGAGTGAACCAGTGGATGGAACATTCTCTTTCTGCCTCTCTCCCGCTTACTGCCCCTCCTCTTACTTGCAAATAAATGAATACATAAATAATAAACTGATTGTTAAATTCTGTGAACATGTCTCCTTGGGAAAAAATGGAATAAAAAGCTAAGTTTATTTTGGTGAAAAAAAGTTTTTAACCATATGCATAGTTTTTGTGTGCTGTGCATTGCCATGATTTTTTTTTTTTTTTGACAGGCAGAGTTAGACAGTGAGAGAGAGAGACAGAGAAAAAAAGGTCTTCCCTCCATTGGTTCACCCTCTAAATGACTGCCACGGCTGGCGCCCTGCGCCAATCCTAAGCCAGGAGCCAGGTGCTTCTTCCTGGTCTCCCATGCGGGTGCAGGGCCCAGGGACTCAGGCCATCCTCCACTGCCTTCCCAGGCCACAGCAGAGCACCGGACTGGAAGAGGAGCAACCGGGACAGAATCCGGCGCCCCAACTGGGACTAGAACCCGGGGTGCCGGCGCCGCAGGTGGAGGATTAGCCTAATGAGCCACGGCGCTGGCCATGCCATGATGATATTTTATCTTCAAATTTCTGCACCAAAATAAACTCATCAGTGAGTTCCATTTTCCATGAACTCTCTGAAGTAAGCTTGTATTTTAATACACAGGAAATGACTTTTTTTTTTCTCTTCCAATTTCTTTCTCTGACTTAATGAAGAATATCAACACTAAGAAACTGGGCTGGGCCCTCTGTATTTCTGGGGCTTGCCAGCACCCCAGCAAGGTGGGTCTCCTGACTGTGTCTGCCTTCCCAAACAGGTACACCAGGGCACAGAGATGACACCTCAGCAGGTGACCGGGCGGGACTGTCAGGTGTGTGCCGGGCTTAACGCTTGCCCTGCACCTGCTGCCTAAGCAGGTCTATGAGGATGGGGGCAGGTGGAAAACCGTGGTGTCTGGGGCTTCGAACCTCACAGGCAGGATGCTCCTGCGCCTCTGTGGGCCCCGCCAAATGTCGGATCGGGGGCCTCACGCGATGACACAGCTGCTGTTCTCATTCTGTGTTTTATTTTAAATAAAAGCCCCCCCCACCCCTGCCTTGAATGACTGAGCGAACGCAGCGGCGCATCCGGGTTAGTTGTCACTGCTGACTCCGGAGCCCCGGCCGGGGCTGCACTCCCAGCTCTGCTGCCTTCCAGCTGTGTGCCCTCGGGAGGTCATCTCAGCTCCCTGGGTCTGCTTCCCCACCTGTGAACTGGGGGTCACTGTGGTGATGGAATGAGACCGCGGGTGCTGCCCTGAGCACAGTGCCTGTTGCTGGGCCTCCAGACAGACTCTCGCGGGCCTGAGCTACCCCCTCCGCGCCAGGAGAGCTCCGCTGTGGGCCCCAGTCTGTCTGGTGGCCCCCGCTACTCCTCCCCGGAGGCTCACGCACACCTGGATGAAGCAAGGCGCCCGCGGGTTTAGAGTCCAGTCCCCGCCCCACCTCTCCAGGACATCCATGGAGTCCCGGACGGACACCTACCAGCAGACTTGGGAGTGAACTTGTCCCGGTTGGCGGCACACACAGCCAGCAGTCTGTAGCCGAGGTCCAGGTCGAACCCTTGCTGGGCGGCCACGCGGCTGACCACCTGGCGGCAAGAGGGGACGAAGGGCAAGGGTGAGTCATGGCCTGCAAAGACTCAGTAGGCGCACATGCCCATTCCACAGGCGGCTGGGCCGAGACAGGTCCCCAGGTTCAGGCAGAGCTGGGGCCCCACTGTGCCTCATTCAACTAGTCACTCAGCAAACAGTGAGAAGCACCTCCTGCGTGCCAGGCCCTGCGGCGCTGGCCTCTTTGTGCTCATGGACCCAAGCCCGAAGCCACAGACCCCGCAGCTTTCTAGGACTCAGACGTGGCACTTTGTAGAAGGTGGCTGGGGACACTGCGCCATCCTCCTTAGGCCAGCACAGACCAGGGTCTCTGCCTGACCACGTGGGGCTCTTCAGTCTACTGCCCCAGTGCACTCCCCATGCCCACCAGCCCTCCCTGACCCCACTGTGGGGTCCCAGCCCCTCCCCTCTCTTGTCAGCCCCTGTACCCTTGGAGCTTCAGGCAGGGGTGTGCAGCAGACCACCAAGGCTCTGTGCCATGCACCCTGCAGCCCCCCACACCGTGGCCTAGCAGGGGTGGGGAGCCCTCTTTCTGCCAAGGACCACTGGGACATTTATCACACCTTCCACGGGCCACACGGAACGACCCACTTAGACGTCAGCCTGCTGCAGAGTGAGTTTTGAGTCCCGCCTGCGGCTGTCTTGGTAGGGCCACGCTGGTGATTTCACATAGGGCCCGCGGGCTGCACGTCCCCCGGCCCCCGCCCTCGATGCATGCCCAGCCTGGGGGTTGTCTCAGTGCCAAGGTCGGCCCAGCAGAAAGAGCTTCCGCAGCAGCAGTTGTGTATCTGGAGCCTGAAGGTCGCACCCGCCTCCCTGGGAAGCTCAGAAGACGGGGTGGGAGGGGAGAGGCAGGAGGCTGGGAGGGATGCCAATCCCCGGGGCGGTGGGCAGCGTGGGGCGCCCCCCGTGGCCCCGCGAGTGGCACTGCCGGCTCATGCCCATCTGGCGTCCCTCCATCCCACCCGCTCCCAGGTGTCCTGTGGCTGCCAGATCGGCTCCCGCCCGCCCGCCTTACTCATTAGCTGCAGCAAAATTAGGTTTCCTTATTAAGAAGGAAGGAGCTAGGAAGATGGCGTCGTTGGCGGAAGCAGCTGGGGCGGCTATGGCTGAGTGGGGAAGGGAGCGCCCAGCTGTGGCGGGCTGGGCCTTCGGGCTGTCAGGGTCCCGGGGGACCACCTGCTCTCTGGGCGCTGCCACAGGCTGTGGCCTGGCCCTGGGGCCCCTGTGAGCATCAGTTGCTTTCTGTTTCAGGGGTTGGCTGCAGAGGCTCGGGGGCTACAAGGGTGGGAAAACCACTCCTCCGAGTTCTACTTCCTCACGAAAGCACAGGTCCTGGGAGGCCCAGGGACTGTCGCACGCTGGGCCATGGCAGCCAGTGCAGCCCCCTTCCCACAACCACCAGTGTCCCTGGGAATGGGGTCCTGGCCACTTCCGCCTCCCTGCAAGGAATGCCCTGCACGGGGCTAATGTGCGAGGCACAGGCTGCGCTCAGGTTAGGACATTTGCTGAGCGTCTGTGCTAAACCCAGGCCCTAGACACAGACGACTGCCCCTTTCCCCAGCCCCTCCCCACAGGCCCCTAAATCTTTCTGGGGTGCAGGCAGTCCCTGTCTGGGGAGTCAGGAGGAAGGTTCTGGGCCGGAGGGGCCGCTGCTCACATGTGGACTCTGGGCCCCGATCTCTGCACCAGGGAGCCTGGAGAGGTTTGCTGGGAGCGGTGTAGCAGTGAGGCCGCTGCTTGTAGGGCAGGCCAGCCTTCACGAGCAGTATGACGGCTGTGCTGGTGCCCAGGCCCCAGGGTTCAGCGCAAGCTATGTGTGCAACCAGCTGCCCACTTTTCAGAGTGGGCCATGACGGTTCCGGGGGAGGAAGCCGAGGAGGACTGCAGAGCAGGGGCTGCCAGTCACAGACCCGGGAGACTGGCTGCAAAGGCTGGGCTCTTTCCACACAGATCAGAAAGGGTTAAGGCCGGGCTGTACAGGGACCCTGAGGCCCTGGGTTCAGGGCAGGAAGGCAAAGGTCCCTGTGCTGTGCGTGGTCAACACTGGCTAAGCCTGTTGCTCTGGTTTTAAAAACAATGCGAGCTAAGTTGAGCAAGAAGGACCTGGTGCTGTGTGCAGGCTGCAAGGGCTCATGGGAGAAGGGGCGGGGAGTGCCTGCTGCCACCGAGTCCCCTGAGCCCCAGGGTTCAGAAGGGTCACTGGCTCCCAGCAACCTCCCTGCACTGACAAGGAAGCCGAGGCCAGAGAAGGGCAAGACCTGGCTCAGGCGCACTCGGCACAGGGGTGGCAGAGCAAGCCAAGCTGGACCCTGCTGCCCTGGTGCAGCTCATGTGCTGTCAGCCCCTGGCTTCCCCGAGCCCAGCCCGAGCCACCCACCCCTCCCCAGCACTTCTTGTAAGGAGCTGTCCGGCAGGCAGCAGTGGGGACAGTGGGCCAGACTGAGCAACCTGTGTTTTGAGAGGCCTGCCCCTCCTCCACCAGGTGACACGAAGACCGCCCCCTCCTCCATAGAGGCCAGAGGTGAGTGGCTGCGACGCTGCTGCCCTCTGCTGGCTGCCCAGGAGGCGCGCTCCCTGAGGCCTTGTCTGCAGCGTTTGGATGTCACACACCCAGACCCCAGGAGCCCTGGGGTGGGGGGCAAGCTGGGCAAGGGGGTTCTGCTCCTGGCCGGGGACTGGACCCCAAGGCCTCTCTGGCTGTGCTCCTTGGAGGCGCTTGAGGGGGCCTGCGGGCGCGTCAGGCCTGTGCCCTGACCCTGCTTCCCACCATGCTGTGCAACAGAGTGTAGCCCACGCAACTCCTCCGGGCCTGAGCTTCCTCTTCTCTTGAGATGCGCCGTGGTTTTGTTTGATGGGTTCTGACTGTCCCCAGTGTGTGTCCCCATTCCGTCCCCACACCTGCACCCTCACATCCACTTTGCTACCACACTCAACAAGGCGGCAGCAGGCAGGCTGGGGAGACGGCACTTGTGGTTGCTGCTGCTTTGAAGTCAGAGACCGGGTTCTGTTTCCACTGCTCAGCAGCTGTTCCACCTCACTCAAAGGCCTCAGTTTCCTCAATCTGTAAAATGGGTACAGAAGGCCCTCCTGGCCAGGACGAGAGGCCAGGATCAGGCACCCAGCTGAGGTTCTGTGAGTGAGATGAGAGCCGAGGACGTGGGGCTGCTACTGGACACGGGAGAGGCTACTGATGGGCAACCGGTGTGTGTGTCCCTCACTCATGCTCCAGCTGGCCTTCTGTTCCTGCACCTGCTCCCGCTCAGGGCAGGGAGCAGGAGCAAGACTGGAGAGGCCCGAGTTAGTAGGGGGACACCCCGGAGGTGGCTCAGCCCAGATGCTGGAGGGAGCCAGGGCGTGAGGCCCGAGCAGGGTCAGGAAGGGGCTGGTCCTGAAGAGGAAGAGGTTGTCTAGTGGCAACGCCCCGCCCCTCAGGGGAGGGGCCCTGAGGCTCCTCCTTCTGTGTCCTTGGGTCAGCGGGGTGAGGGGAGGTGGGGGGGGCTTCACCATAGCTGCTCCTGTGAGCTGCACCTGAGCTGCTTGGGAGCCGGAGTGGGAAAAACGCGGCCCTTGGCTGCCTGGGGCTACGTGCTGTTCACGTCTGTTCTCAGGATGAGCTGCACGGCCAGGGATTTGGAATGTGCTCCCAAAGGTCACCCGGGGGACTGCAGTGACCTGGAGGCGCAGGCTACCACCTGCAGGGCGAGGGTGAGCGCGTGTTTTGCACACGTGTGTTTTGGCGGGTGGGCGGCGGCCAGCCACTGTGTCCTGCCTGGGTCCCGTGGGCTCTCTGACTGCTCCCATCCTGTCCCTCCTCCTGGGCAGTGCTGGGCAGCGGGACGTGGGGACTGGCAGCAGTGTCCAGGGGCCCCCTGGGAGGAGGGTGTCATTCGAGCCAGCCCAGGACTAGCGGCAGCTTCTGGTTACTCCTCCTTTTGGTTGATATATTTAGGAAGCGGGGCTGGCGACGCCTTCCCTGTCCACCTTGAAGGGTCTTTGTTTTGACCCCGGAGCCTGCCCGAGAAAACACCCTGGAGCATCTTCTGCGACCCCAGCCCCCTCCTGCCCCCGGATCCACCTCGCTTCAAGGGGCACCCAGGTGTCTGCAGCTGTGGCCCCTTCCTGGCTGAGCAGCAGGCTCTGTGTTGGGGGGTGGGGGGTGGGGTTAGAGCCGGCAGCTGAGCCAGGTGTCTGGCACCATGCCTCTGGCCGCACGGTGCGCCCTGCCTGGGAGGCCGTGACCCCACCTGTGCCGTCAGGTCCCATGGGCTCCTCCCCAGGTCCCCTTCTCCGGGAAGCCCTCCATCATCTCTCGTCTTCCCCTCCAAGGACACAGCCCAGAGCTGTGGCCACTCGGATCAGATCCCATTCCTCCTGCTCAGGACGCGAGGGCTCCTCTTTGCCTTCCGAATCCTGCTCATGCCCCTTGCTTGGCCCGCAGGCCCCGTGGGAGCCCCCTCTCTGCTCCCTGCACACCCTCGCCTGTGCTGCCAGAAACTGGAGACCCTTCCCCATTCCCCAAACAGATCAAGCCCCAGGGCCTTGGCGCTGGCTCTGCCACCACCACAGGAGACAGTGCAGGAGACCTGCACCCTGCCCCCTCTCAGGCCTGCCGTGTGCCCCCCCACTGCTCCTTCCCGTGGGCATCGTCACTCCCCCCGCCCCCCCGCACTGCTAGGGAGAGTGCTCTCTTCTGTTCACCACGCTGCCTCCAGTGCCCGGTGCAGCATGTTTGTTGAAGGAATGGAAGACTGACAGGGCCAAGGAGGACCAGGGACAGGTCCATCCAGGCCGGTGAGGGCTGTGGTCCCTGTCCCAGGCAGGGCCAGCCTCGAGGCAGGGTGCCTGTCTGGCCACATGCCGGTGCAGTCCCCACCTCCACCTGCCACCGTGGCTGCCAGCAGCTGGGGTGAAAGCAAGGACGCCACTGGCAACATCTGTCCCTGCCCATGGGCTTAGCCTGAACCAGGATCCAACAAAGAGGATTAGGGAGGAGGGGGAGGGGAGGGGAGCCCGAGGGCAGAAGGGGGAGGAAGACAGGGAGGGGCAGGAGGCTGCCTGGCCTGGCCTTGTGGCCCTGAGCGGAGCCAGCTGGCATCAGCTTCTGCCCCATGGAGGAACCCGGGGAGGGTCATGGCCTTTCCCCCTTCTGGTATCCCTAACGGTCAGGAACGTCCCCTCTGGGGGCAGACGGGCCGTGGCTGGACACCCAGGCCCTTTGCTGAGGCTGTGCTACGTTGGGAAGTCAGCATGAGTCTCTGTTTCCACCTCAACAAAAGGGGGAAGGTCATAGGACCCACCTCCGAGTGCACTCAGCGAGCCTGTGGCGAATGCGGCAGGGACAGGGCCCTCGCAATGTCAGCCACGCCCCTGAGCGTCTCCTCTGAGCCAGGTCCATGGCGCGCTGGGCCCTTCAGTGCCCTGGGACTAAGCTACTGTCCAAGCCCGGCTACGCCTCCTGCTTGGTCAAGCCTGGGAATCGGCGCCTGTCCACCCCCACTCAGGCTCCGTGAGCAGCTCCCTCACGTGTGTCGCGTATGGGCCACGTGGCTGTGGCTGTCCACCAGCCGTGGCTACTTCCACGTGGTTCTGTCGGCTGGCAAGCTCCTTCCTGATAAACCCTGCCGTGAGTGCTGTGCCTGGTCTCTGCCAGCTCCTGTCCTGGCCCCTCATCCGGGTCCCTGGGAGCTGCTGCACGCCAGGGCCTTTGCATGTGCAATCCCGCAGGCCTCGCAGGCTCCGGGGTGGGGGGCCCAGCTGCTCAGTGAACCCTTGCATGTGAGCTGACGGCTCCTCGCTTCACTCGCTGCGCCCGCCCCACGGCCCAGGCAGCCGGGGATTCTGATCTCTGTGCTGCCTCCTCCCTGTCCCTGGCTTTCCTCAGTCATCTCTTCACAGAGCCGCCGCCTCCACTAAGCAGAGACTCAGGCTTGCTAAAGTCTTTGCTTTCCCAGGACTTAGCGGAGGGGATCAGATCTGATAGATGAGGGATCAGTGCATGTTTATTTGGCTGGCTGGCTGGACATAATACGGGCTCAATGAGTACAGACGGATGACTGGCTTAAAAACAGCTCGCTGAGTGTTGATTGACTGACTGAGTGGATCTCTCTTTTTCATGGGACACCGACCCCCAAAGGGACCCCGGGTATCTGTCATCGAGCATGGGGACGCACGTCTCCCCAGCAGATCCAGGTCCCTGGTGGGGAGTGGGCACATGGTGGGGGTCCTCTCCCCCATCACCCCAGGCCCTGGCAGGCCCCGGGCCCCCACCGTCTGCTGCGGGCGTGCACTCACCGTCAGGCAGCCCATGAGGCTCTGCTCGAAGGGCCGCTGGAAGGCCCGCGGGTCCCCGCACCAGTCCAGCAGCTCTGTGGCGGCATTGTGGAAGTTGGCAGGACTCTGCAGGTGCTGTGGGGAAGGAGGGGAGGCGGCGTGAGGCTCCAGGAAGCAGACACACAGGCCGCTGTGGGTGGGCGGTGCGGGTGGGAGGGGCTGGGAAGGGGAGGAGGATGGGTGGGCCGCGATCAACGCCCTCTCTCCAGCTCCTTCTCATCCACCTGCCCTCTGCACGTCCAGCCGGCCCCTCCCAGGCAGGATGGACAGTAGTGGCCCCACTGCACAGACGGGTAAACCAAGGTCTAGGGAGAGCCAGGGATACAAGACACTCAAGGGGTTCCAGGTGCTGGTGAGGGAGGGACACACCCCATGGGCTTCTACCAGGCAGTATCTCCCTGATCTGGGATAGGCCTGGAGACTCCTTCCTTTCTTATATTCTTTTTTTTTAAAAGACTTATTTTATTTGAAAGGCAGAGTTACAGAGAGACAGCGAGAAGAGGGATATTCTGTCTGCTGGGTCAGTCCCCAGTCGGCCACAAAGCCAGGGCTGGGCCATGCTGAAGCCACGGGTCCAGAACTCCATCGGAGTCTCCCATGTGGGTGCAGGGGCCCAAGTGCTTGTGCTGCTGCCTCCCAGGTGCATCAGCAGGGAGCCGGGTCCGAAGCAGAGCAGCTGGGAATTGACCCGGAGCTCCTGTAGGATGCCGGCATTGCAGGCGGCAGCTTAACCTGCTGCACCACAATGTCGGCCCTTACTCCTTCCTCTCTGATTGTCCCCCACTTCCCCACCCCCGTGAACTCCCATCATCAGGTGTGGCTGCAGAGAGGCAGGGCGGGCAGCGGTGGGGAGGTGGCACAGGGTGGGCAGGGGCGCTCCGGCAGAGTGCCCGGGTACCACCACACTGGTCTGGTGTGTGGGGCTTAGTGAGCCTGTATCCCCAGGCTGCCCTCCATGGGCACTGTCTGCTGGGGCTCAGGGGCCACTGGCATTATTGGGCAGGGTCCCAGCCTGAGCTCAGGCCCCTCCATCTGAATCTACAGGGACTCAACTGTAGGGTCAGAGTACCAGGGCCTCCCAATTCTGCTGCAGGCCCAGGGCCCAGGGCCCAGGGCTGCAGGGTGGGGTGGCTCCCAGGCCCCGCTCCATCTGTCCGCGTCTTCCCAGGCCCTCTGAGCTGGGCACTGTGTCCAGGAGGTGAATGACTTGCCTGGGGCGCAGCACACAGAGTGAGGGGCAGAGTGGGGTCTCCTTGGCCTGGGGGTGACTGACTGTGTGCCCCTCCGTGGAGCCTCTGGAGGGTGTCCATGAGGGCAGCGGGTAGACCAGACATACCGCCCCAGGGATGTGGCACCCTGAGGTCCTGGCACCCTGCTGCTGGGAGACACAGCACAGCTGTGGCTACAGGGGGCAGTGGCTCTGACCCAACCTGCCACAGCCGGCAGGTGTCAGCACTGGGAGGGGTGCAGAGTGTGCTGTGGATCCCCTGTGGGTCCCACTCTGCCTCCACCTCCCACAGTGCCCTCACCTCTGCCAGCCTCAATCAACCTGTCTGTAGAATGGGGATAACAGGGCATGCGTGGTGGTGGGCATCTGCTATTTATTTATTTATTTATTTTTGCGTAGGGTTCCAGGACTAGTGCTTTCATGTAGTTCCTGCACTGATTCATATCCCAGCTGCTCCACTTCCAACCCAGCTCCCTGCTGGTGCCTGGGGAAAGCAGTGGAAGATGGCCCAAGTGCTTGGGCCCTTGCCACCCGCATGGGAGACCCAGATGAAGCTCTTGGCTCCTGGCTCCAGCCTGGTCCAATGCTGGCCAACACAGCCGTAGGGGTTGTGAGTCAGTGGATGAAAGATCTCTCTCTCTCTCTGTAGTTTTGACGTTCAAAATAAATAAATCTTTAAAAACAAAGCAGATGGAAGAAATGAACTGAAACATCCTGCCTCTGTAGCCGTGATGGACAGAAAGCTGACAGAGAGAATGGGGGCATGGCACTGGGGCACGGTCGCAACAAGACAGGGCTCAGTCAGCCCTGGCAAAGCACCTGGGGCATGGGGCGCTCCCACACGGGGCTGCCCTGGACCAAGGCTGTCCCCCAGAGGCCCTCCCGGGAGCACAGCTGCACAGGCGCTCCTTGCACTTGACTTGTGCCAGACGGGGGGGTCTTGTGCATGGAGAGACACACCCTCGGAGAAGGCAGTGGCGGCCTTCACCTCTGCCTCCCCTCCCGGCCTCTACAGCGCCCCCCTCTGCCCCCCGCACAGGCCACGGCGGCATCCGGGCTCCACTGCAGAGCTGTGCAGATCAGCTCATGCCTGCCCAGCAGCCTGCCCCTGCTCACTGCGCTGTTTTTATTTTTGTGATGTCACGCCCAGTTAGCAGGGTCTGTAGCCCTGTGTGTTGCTCTCACGGCAACCAGCCCACAGGTGGCCACTGCACCTGCTCTACACTTGGGGTTCATGAGTGGCCTCTGAGGCCAGTCTTGGGGCCCAGCCTTGTTTCAGCTCCTGGGCACGCCACCTTCTGTCTTTTGCCAGCCTTCTAGGCCCTGTGCCCTCACCCCACGCAGCCGGCAGGGTCCTCAGCTGTGGGTCACAGGACATCAGGCCCTTCCTTGGATGGCTGCCACATGGCTGCTCTGTGGCCTTGGCCAAGCCCCCTGCGCTCTCTGTGGGCCCATGTGCACGCTGAGGTGGCTGAAGTGCAGAGAGAGGAAGTGACCTGCAGACAGGTGCAAGACAGACCTGGTCCAAACCCTGCCTCAGCCATGGAGCCCACAGCCCTGGGGTCGTTACTGAACTTCACAGCCCTCACCTGCGGGGTGCGGTGGTGACAGGCTGCAGGGCTGCCACACAGTTCAGGAGCGAGACAGGGGAGGAAGCTACAACAGAGCAGGTGCAGGGAGGCTGCTGCTACTGCCCATGCAAGGGCTGCTCTATGGCTTCTTGTTTCTCTCAGGAGCTCCTCGAGGGTTGGAACTGCCTCTCGGGCACTTCTGGAACCCTGTGGACTGGCACAAGGCTGGGACCCCACAGCAAATGGCTGCTGAGCAGGGAGCTGTGTCCAGGATGGCCCATCTGCCGTGGAGGCCAGAAACCTGGCCACATGGCCACAGGGCCCTGGTGGAGCGTGGCGGGGCCATGGCTGGGTGAGGGCAAGAGTGGCCAGGCCTGGGGTGGCCTGGGATGGGGGAAGTTCTGAGAGTCACCCAGAGGCCCCTGGCTTCAGTCCTAACTGGACACTATGTCCTGTCCCCACTAGAAGGCTGCCTGTCCCCACAGTTCCTCGGAAGATTCCGTTTCTATCCAACAGCTGCTGACACTGTTGGGGCAGGAGCACACCAACACCTAGATCAGGGCCCAGCTACCTGAAGTGGTGAGTTCACCTTCTTATCCGTCCCTCTGTGAACCAAACAGGACATCCATTCACCCCCATCTGTCCATCCGTCCACAATGAATCCATCCATCCATCCATCCATCCATGCACAATGAATCCATCCATCCACTTACCCAACAGCTCATTCAGCCATTCACTACTTCATCTGTTACTCACCCATCCAGTCATTCATCTGCCTTTCCACCCGTTCATCCAAAAGTTAATTTATCCATTCACCCAGGCATCATTCACCCATCCATTTACTTATCCATCGTCATCTATATCCATCCACCCCTGCATCCATTCCTTGATGTACCCATCTATCCGTCCATCCCTCCCCCACCCTGGGCTGGGCATTCTGTTGGTCTCTGCCAACTCAGAGGTGAATATGGCACCTCCTTGGCCTGCAGGGAGCCCAGCCTGGTGGGCCCCCTGACATACGCCCACTCAAGGGAGAACAAGATGGGTGAGGTCGCTGGTGCCCGGGGAGCACGTGAGCTCAGGGGAAGCTGTGGAGCAGTTGCCCACATGGAGCCGGCCGGACGCACCCGTGGCCTCGGAGTGGGGCATGCTGTGGGGGGAGCACTGGTTCTCCCAACACCAGCTGTGGGGGTGGGGTGGGGAAGCAGCTGAGCTGGAGCGTCAGGGTGCTGGGTGGGTGTGGGCAGTGCCATCGATGGCCAGAACCAGGGCAGGGTGGGGAGGGAAGACTGGGCCATGGAAGTGCGACGGACCTGGGAGTCCAGGGCTATGAGGCCCTGGTGGGAGCCGCAGCCCCATCAGCCCAAGGCCCACAGCACATGCACACACGCCGGCCTCTCTCTTCTGATCGGGTCACAGGACGCCCGAGAATCCCCGGTCCTCAGCCAGCTGTGGCTGCCTCTGGGGCACTGTGGAGCAGACGAGGTCAGCGCTGAGCTGTGCCTGACGGGCGGTGCGGGAGGAGAGATGCGCAGCACGCAGCGGGCTCTGGACAGCCCAGCGACAGCTGCTCACACTGTGTGGCCCTAAGGCACAGCTCTCCGCGTGTGCGAGTGCAGGGCGGGCTGGGGCTCCAGCGCTCTCTGGCCGAGCACGCATTCCAGGTGAGGCCCATTTCACAGACGAGAGAGCAAGCTCCTGGGAGCAGCTCCCCAGTGCTGGGCTGGGGCCTCGGGGTCACGGATTGCACAGGGGAGAAGCAGGCTTCCATGGGAGCTGCATGCCTGGCGCGTGCAGGGGCTCCCGGACTGTGGGGGGTGAGGGTCACTGCCCGCGGCGCCTCAGGCAGCAGGAACTGGGTCAAAGGCAGAGCTGGGAGCCAGCCGGCAGAGCCGGGGGAGGAGGGAGCCGCGTCTGGTTTCTATTCCGTGACCGTGAGCAGGAGGCGCGTAATTGGCATTGGGGAAGAGCTCTCCGGCTGGGTTCAATCTGTAACAAGGCTTCTTCAATTTCCTCCCCTCAGTCCCCACGCGGGCTTCCGTGACTGCGCTACTGGATGCTAATGAGGGGACCCACAGCTCTCATTCCCGCACAACAGTCTTAGTTCCACGGCCCGGCACTGCGGGGAGGCTCCACTGGGTCCCCTGGGCGGGAATCCATGCGTTCTGCAGGAGGTGGGGGGCCGCACCCCAACACGCCCATCCCACCGCACCGGCTCCTTCCCAGTGCTCCAGGCCTGTGTGGGGATGTGGCCCCCTGGGCTGTGGGAGGCTGAGCCCGCCGAGGGTGCCCAGGACCTCTGGGGCTTGGCGTGAGCACCCGCACCCCCCTCCAGGATGAGATCCCTCCCAGCACCTCTGGGGCCGAGCTTTGGACGATTCCTTTCCCCTCTCCGTGCCTCAGTTTCCTTTTCTGTAAACCTTGCTTTTGTGGAGAACACTGAGCAAGATGGGGAGGCAGCCGTGTCTGGGAAGAGCGGATCGCAGTGTCAGAGGCGCCCTCGTCCTCACAGCAGCCCAGAGCACACGCGCAGAGCCCAGAGAGGGCATGATACTGGCCTAAAGCCACACAGAGGGCGTGGCAGCAAGTGGGACGGAACAGCAACATCATTCAAACCCAGGCCCAGGATGCCAGCAGCAGGTGGCCCATGCCACTGCGGGGTGATGGCTCGACAGGCAGAGGTGAGGGAGCCCCAGGCGGCTGGCCCCGCCCACCATCACCTCTGTGCAGCTCTGCCCACCTGGCTGCCCGGCCACACCCACCTGCTTGATGCACTGCAGTCGGTCGTTGGTCTGCTGGATGTGCCTGTCCATAGAGTTCATTCTGGCCGTTTCGCTGGGTTCTACCCGAGAGCCATGAACGTCGTCCAGCCTGTGAAGAGGGCACAGAGGGGGTCACTGGGGTCGCACCAGGCCTGCCGACCTCACTGCAGCCTCCCAGGGGGGCCCCCGAGGCTGAGGGCAGGAGGCATTCCTGGGTGCTCGCCACCCGTGGGCGGGCATGTCCACCAGGAGTCGAGGCCCTGCACAGGCGGGGACACGTGTTTTATGTCCTGCCCCCGGGGTCCTGGTTCAGGGCTCGCTCACGCGACAGAGCTCTGTGGGCGCATTCATGGGCTCGCACGCATGCGTGGGGCCCTTTCTAATGTTGCCCTTCACTTCTCTGCAGGTGCAGCTCTCCTGCCCCTGGGGACCCACTGCCCGAGCCGGATCCCACAAAACTCCATTTTGCCACTTTGCCCCCCTGGGAAAGAAGGCGGGCAAGGATCAGCACTGGGGAAGGAGATAGGCTTGGAGCAGGGAGGCAGCATCAGAGCCCAGCCCAGGGGCCAGGCCCCCTGCCCGGCAGCCCAGGATCCCCACCACTGCACTGCGGGGCACTTGGGGCTCACGGGCATCCTGAATGGGGTGGGGGCCTCTGGGGACATGAACACCAGAGGGGCTTCCTTCTGCATCACGGTGCTAGGTGGGAGAGGCTCCCTCAGCCCCAGGGCGGCCCCCAGAGCAACGGCAGAGACGGCCAGAGAGGAGACAGGGTACAGCCCGAGTGCACCCACGGCCCAGGAGCCCTTGGTTTCTCTCCCACAGGCACTGGGTGCCGCAGGCTGCAGAGCACGGTCTGACCTGGGTGCTGGGCAGGAAGCCCAAGCCCCCCCCCCCACAGTCTCCTTTGCTGCCCTCCAGCCTGGCCCCTCCTTCCCCAACAGCCCTCCCCTCTGGCCATGTGCCAGGCACCTGCATTCTTCACATTTCATGCCCACTCTGTGCAGGTGCGACTGCTCCTACTTCACAGATGAGGGAACAGGTCCTGAGACGGGCCAGGGCCCCTGGGCTAGCATCAGTCCCCGCTCCCCCCCCGCCCGAGGGAACCAACGCCACGGTCAGGCCCCAGCCCTGTTCCTGCCTACGGGGCTCTTGACTACCTGGCTCCTGAGCAGTTCTTGTTCCCTTGCCGCTAGAAAATGTACATTCATTGGCTGGCCTCAAAAACCAGAGCGTCAGAAGGGTGCACGGGCCCAGTGGGTAGGGTGGCCACGTCCCCTGCCAGAGTGCCTGGGTTCGAGTCCCAGCTCCTCTCCTGATCGCAGCTTCCTGCCAACGTGCAACCTGGGAGGCAGCAGGTGATGGCTCAAATAGCTGGGTCCCTGCCACCTGCATGGAAGACCTGGACTGATTCTGGCTCCTGGCTTTTGGCCTGGCACAGCCATGGGCATTGCTTCTTTTCAAGGAGCAGCATCCTAAACAAGCTGACTAGAACTTGCTTTTCCTCTCTTCATACTGCATCTCAAAGTTCATTCTGCATAAAGACATACAGAGCCTTTTCACTCTGTAATAGCAGCACGGTATTCCAAGGTACGGGTGAAGTGCTGATCCGTCTGCCCCTGCCGAGGGCTGGCCTCTCCTCTGCTCAGGGGAGCTCACGCTCCAGCCCAGAGTGAGGAACCCCAAGTGGCCAGTACACGGCCAGAGCCACAGACAGCCTGGCAGAGCTACCTCCTCATGCCGGCATTACTTAGAGGATGCGCTCTGGGGCCAGGTGTTGCTGCTGGTTTGGGCTCCTGAATTTCTGACAATGCTCTACCTTGGAGCTTTCCAGAAAAGAGGACAGGGTGGGGGTTGTGCCCCATATTTATTTCTTTCATGCCCACTCTGCCACCCATCACACACACACACACACACACACACACACACACACATATATATACATACCATAACATCCAGCTCCTCTATCACTTGTCTAAATGCCCGTCCATCTGTCAGGTCATCCATCATCCATGTCATCTATCCATCCGTCCATCCATCCAACCATCCATCCGTTGTCCATGTCATCTATCCATCTGTCATCCATCCATCCATCCATCCTTCCATCCATCTATACATCTGTCTGTCCATCATCCGTCCATCCATCCATCCATCTGTCCATTATTCACGTCATCTATCCATCTGTCCATCCATTCATCCATTATTCATGTCATCTATCCATCCGTCCATCCATTCATCCATTCATCCGTCCATCATTCTCTCCCTCCCTCCCTCCACCCAAGCAAGCATGTTTTAGATTTGGGTAGTCCATCCTCCCACACTTCTGCTCACTCAGAAAACACCTTTCCATAACTTTCTATGCTGGGTCCTACGCCACACCCGTGGGACACGCAGAGATGAACAGCAAACAACTTCCTTGAGTTCCAAGAACTCTGGGTCCAAGTCTGTCTTCACTGCAGGCTGTCTGTTAGGTGACTATTTGCTGAGCTCCCTTTGGGAGTCAGGAGCGGCGCAGGCGCTGGGCACAGACTCTGTTATGATTCCCACACTTTGTAGATGTGAGAACTGAGGCTTGCAGGTGATGTTCGCTGGGGATAGCCAGTTTCGGAATCCTGGCTTTCCCAGTAGGATCTATACTCGAGAGCAGACAGTGAGCAGGGGTCAGGGGTCCCGGCTGGAGGCTGCTGCAGTGTTGTGGAGCGGGGGAAAAGGATGTGTGTGGTGGGGGCGGGGATGAGGGCACAGCTCCCCCTGCCATCTCTACAGGTCTCCCAAGGGAGACTGAATGTCTCCTAAATCACCCGCACAGGGCCTCAGCCAGCACCCATAAGACTGAGGCTCCTGGGGTCAGGGTTTAGCAGTGGGCAAGCAGGAGCCACCTGTGGGGATGCCATCCCAGTGCCAGACCCCATCGGAGCAGAGGGGGCCCTGGGGTCTTCCAGGCATCACAAGGTACACAGGGGGCTGCCAAGGCCCAGGTTCCATGTCGTGCATGGGTAGACACTGGCTGCTGGGGTCCCCATTGACAGTGTAGTTTCCATAGCCAGCTAGGACAGGAAGGTTGAGGTAAGGAACTCATTAAATCAAGGCCTGGCTCAGTTCCTGGCTAGGGGGGCCTACAAGAAAGTACAAAGAAACCCAGGCCTGGGTGGGCTTCACTCTGGTCCCCCTGGCAGCAGCCGAGGACAAAGGACCTGCAGTAGCTCAGGCAGTCAGCAGGGGGCGCTGTTGGCAAGTCTAAGAGCCCAGAGGCCCAGAAACAGCACTGGAGGTTCCAGGCATGGTCCTGGACCTCCCTCTGCGCCCTGTCTCCAGTGAGCACCTGGAGCTCTCAGCCGGGGCAGTTTCCAGGCAGTTTTCGGGCTTCTGGGCCTTGGTTTCCCCATCTGTAGAACAGGATGGGGCTGAGGGTGCTCACATGGTCTCCAAGGCTCTATGTCTAAGAAGGCACTCTTCCTAGGATGGACGTGGCCTGCGTCTAGGGTCAGACACCTGGGGAACCTTAACCAGCACCAGCACCCAGCAGCGCAGATCCCTGCCCCCTCCCCTGCCAGGCACTGTGGGGCTCACGGCTGCCTTTCCCTGGGTGGGGGGCGAAGGCGGGGTCTCTGGGGCTCACTTCAGGAAGCAGAAAACGAAGCCAGGGGAGCTGCCGGCCTGCCTGGGGACCAGCGGCTGCCGAGCATGGCATCCGGATTCAAAGATGCCCAGAACGTCAATGGCCCCCACCTACCAGACAGTCCAGTCGGGTTTATTTTGGGGGACCCCGAGCCCTGCCTGCGGGGCACCCCTGGGCTAAGTCCAGACCGCAGGAGTTTCCTCCCAGGCCAGGGTTCCACCTCATAGGAGCCTAGAACCGGCTGGGGCTTGGGACACCTGCGAGACGCGGGGGGTTGGGGAGGAGGCAGCTGGCAGCACAGACATCAAAGATCACAGGGACAACTGGGTGTCCTGCACTTCTTCATCTATAAAGGGCCAAGCGACCGGCTGATCAAGGAGACGTCCACAGCTGCCGTGAGTTTTCAAATGGCTGAGATCAAGAGTGGGAAGTTGGATTAGGAACATCGGGCATGGGTGGGACTGAAGTCTACAGTCTCCAGAGTGAAAAGAGATCAAGGTCTTGAAAGCTAAGGGTCCCTGGCACGCAGAGCAGACGTGGGCTGGAGCAGGCACGAGGGGTGGGGCTTGTTCAGGAGACAGGCCGAGCTCACCCCTTGTGTCGCCACCTGCTACGTCCAGGCACCAGGCTCAGAGTGGTGAAGCCGCTCACCCAAGGCCACCCAGCCTGGGGGGCTGCAGGGCTCATTCACAGCCTCTGCTTTTCTCATTGCGAACGCGTTGTTCTTTCCACGGTCTAGGACTGGTGGGCAGAGCCTCCAGGCCACCCCCACCCCAGGCTGTGAGTGGGCCCAAAGAGATACCCTCTTCATTCCAGCCAACCTATCCAAAGGCAGGCACTGGCTTCCAGGGCGGTCCTGGCCCCCTGCTCCTGCAGGCTCTCTGGAGTTGCTTGCTTAGGGTGAGCACTGGGTGGCCAGCAGAGGTCGCCCTCCGCCATGGGAGCCCCGAGCACGGCTCGCTGCTGCCCGCCTTCTGCCTGGCGACTCCTGTAAGCCTTTACAAGCCATTACAAATCCCCCGGACTCCCTCCCAGTCCAGCCCTGTGCTCCCACCGCCCCAGCCCTCCCTGCTGCCTGTCTGCCTCTGAATGGGGGGTGGGCTCCATCGAGGGACCCCTACCGCCAGAGTCTGTGGGCCACGCAAGCGGGAGAGCCTGCACCACCTCCCTCCTGCCTGCCGTGAGAACTGGGGAGCTGGGCCTCAGTGTCCCAGCAGAGTTGGGCTGGCAGTCGGCCCAACTCCAGCATCTGTGGTTTCTGAGCCAGGAGCTCCAGCCGCTTGGAAAACTCCAGGTAGACACTGGGCTGTGAAATGGCACCACCTGTCCCACGCCAGGCCGGCCCAGGGGACTCTGGGACAGCCATTCCTCCGGGTTGGCCCAGAGCCATGGACGCTGCCACCATCGCCATAGCTATGTGCTCCCCTGTGCACCTTAAGCCCAAGCGGGCTCACCGGTGCTGTGGGAGTCCAAGGACACAGGTCTCCCCG